GTGTGTGTGTGTATGTGTGTATGTGTAACATACCACATACCACAGCCCAAGTTACCATGTTTATTTTCCCACAGATTGTGCTCCCGGCCACTTTTGTGTTTCTGGCTCTGATGCTTTCCATCATCATCCCTCCTTTTGGCGAATATCCTGCTTTGACCCTTCACCCCTGGATATATGGGCAGCAGTATACCTTCTTCAGGTGCGTAGACTCATCCTCAGATGTCATCATCCACCTCCTTGGGTTGTGGGGCTCCTGGGTCACCTGCTGCTTGGTGCGGCCCTGACCTTCCCACTCTCTGGGACCGTCACCAGCATGATGGTGGTCCTCAGGCTGCCCTCAGAAAGGAAATTAATGAGTCTGCCACTTGGGAAAGGTGACCCCCAAGTGGACACGCAAGACTGCCAGGAGGAAGGAAAGAGAACGCAAAGGTTGGGTGAGTGGGTTGAAGCTCCATTTTTTGAAGTGCAGACCTGATATGGAATCAGACCACTGGGGTGTTCAGATAGCCTACCCCTCTTCTCAGGAGACCTATAGCTACCTCAAGGCAGAATCCTTTGCCTTGTTTACATGCCAGGCATGTAGTAGCCATTCAACAGACATTTGCTGTGTTGCATGTTGGCTGCTTTGTCCCTCTGTCCATGCCCATCGAGTAAGCCCCTCTCACTCTGTCTAGCATGGACCAGCCGGACAGCGAGCGGCTCATGGTGCTTGCAGATGTCCTCGTGAATAAGCCAGGCTTTGGCAACCGCTGCCTGAAGGAAGAGTGGCTTCCGTAAGTCCCTGCGCACCCCTGCCCTAACACCAGCAGCTGCCCTGGGAGACCCTGATGGTGGGGGCCTGGGATGGCAGGGTTGGGAGAGGCCCCATCTCAGTCCTGCTCTGTATTACACGAACACTACCATACCCCTGAGCAGCACTCACCCGGCCTCTCCATCAACACCTCTGTGCAAGGGTGTTCACTGCCCCTCAGGAAGCCCCTGCACCACAGGACAGCTCTGTATTTCTATAATTCTCCATATAAAAGTACCATACTGAGTTGACATATGCCACTCACAACTTATTTGAAAGGAATCTGAACGGAGAAGGGGGGCAGATGGGGGATGTGCCCTTGTGTGATTGGACCAAGAATGGCATTAGTTACATATATGGCCAACTTTCAATTATTGCTTTAAGTGTGGAGAAGAGAGTTCTAGAGGGCAGTTGAAATCCACCAAGAATTCAAAACGTTCAATGTAATTTTAACTGCTTCTCTCATCCAGTCTTTTTCAGTTATTGATAAGGACCAAAATAGATTAATTTCAAAACCTCTTGTATTTGTTCTCTAAACGGTGAGAGCTGCCAGCAGATAAAAGGGAGATTAAGCCATCCACAAGCTAGATAATTTTTCCCAGCCCCACCCACATCTAGTGAATCAATAAAATTCTAGTCTTGATTTTTTCTTGAGCAGAAACCAACCTCCAAGAGTAGAAGAAAATGCATGGGTCCGAGGAGGAGGAAAGGCTCGGAAGGAGAGGGTTGGGCACTATTTCTCATTTTGAGGCATTTTTATCAACCTTGAAGCTGATTGTGGAATATGTTCTTGTCTTCCATGAGGGAGTTCCCCTGTGGCAATTCAACCGCCTGGAAGACTCCCTCTGTGTCCCCGGATGTCACCCACCTGCTCCAGAGGCAGATATGGACAGCAGACCACCCCTCGCCTTCCTGCAGGTGCAGCACCAGAGAGAAGCTCACCATGCTCCCCGAGTGCCCTGGGGGCGCAGGGGGGCTCCCACCCCCTCAGGTACCTCCCCCTCCAGGGGCTGCTAGGGCCCTGAGCCTGTCTGTGACCACAGCCATTGCGCCTCCTGAGTTTCTAGCCAACTAACGTTTTCAGACTGACGGCTGAGTGAAGGACTAAATGAGGCTCCAGGTCCTTACCTCCTGGAGGAAGCCACTGACCAAAAGCTTCATTTCCACCAAACACTCCCCATTCAATCTAGTAAGAAAATATCTTTAAGTATTGAGAAAATTACACATCAGGCATGATCGCTATAGAAAAATTAGAAAACACAGACAAGTCAGAACAAAAAAAAATTACCCCATCACTTGGTGATAACCACCAATAACATTTGGTTTTTATCCATTCAAACAGGATTATATTCAAAATGCTGTCCTGAAACCTGCTATTTTCACTTAACAACATATCATGAACATACGGCCATGTCAATAAATATACATCTACATTAACATTTTTAATGCCTGCACACTATCCTACTGCTTGGATTTACTTTAATTTACTTAACTACTCTCTCATTGTTGGACACGTGGGCTTCCAGTTTTTCTGTTATCAACCGTGTTGTAGTGTCCCTTCAAATGCACACTTACTAACAATTTTAATTAAGAAACTCTCCATGTGCTGTGTAATTAACATGCACACACACACACACACACACACACACACAGAGCTAGCAACCTATGTTTTGCAGGGATAACAACAATCTTGGCTCTGAGCAGCCTCCTCTCTCAGGAGTTCTGAATGCCAGAATGTATCACAGTGAGCCGCTCCAGGGGTTTCAGAGACAGTGAATGGGGTCAGAGAAGTCTCGCCTTGTCTCAGGTTGATAACTGGACTCCCAGCTGACTTGCACAGAGCTGGGTCCTATGTGGTCCTCTCTCATGATTTGCCAGTGAATGAACGACTCCCCATGAGGCAGTGTGGCAGGTGGGGCGAGCACCGGCATTGGCATCAGAGAGCCAGGGGTGGGTTACTTGGCCTCTCTGAGCCTTAATTTCTTCACCTATAAATTGGGGATAACTGCACTTATTTCTCAGCATTATTATGAGAATGCAATGAGATAAAGAAACTATTATTTAGAAATAGTTTCAACTCAAGTGATGACAACCTCAAACTAACTGTGGATAAAATATGACACAGCTCATTTCTTTCTCATGTAAAAGTTTATATGGGTGGTCCATGGCATTCTGTTATGTCACTCCCTCCTTTCTGGTAAACAAGTCAGTCTCCTTGGCCAAGATGGCAGAATCTACTTTCCAGGCAGCAGATGGAAGAAGGGATGAAGAAAAAGGGAGGGCAAAGTGTGTGAATACACTATCTTTAAGGAAGATTTCCAGAAGCTACCACAGAGGCACTTTCATGTGTACATCATTGGCCAGAACGGGACATCACAGGAGACTGGGAACTATCGTCTTTATTCTGGGTGTCCTTGTACCCAACAAAAAAGTCTATTCCTATGGCAAACGGCAGAGGGCAGAGCAGTAATGGGGGACAACTAAATTTTGCCACAGCGTCAGTCACAGTTGCTGGCTTGTATATAAATGATTCCGTGTTTATGAACATCCTACCTTTCCCTTTTTTATGCTAAAAGCATGTACCTTTCTATTTCTCAAGCAGTATATTTTCTCTTTGAATCATAACTCAGCCACTACAGCATCACAGGGATCCCAAAAGAGGGACTTAGGGGCTTGTCCCAATTCTCGGTACCCCAGAGGAAGCTTTGCTTCTGTTGGGTTTGTGGAGGGCCCCTGTGGCTGCTTCTACTCAAATACATCCAGTGGCAGGGCACCGAGGCTGTGACCCTGTGTAGTGAGCCCTTGGCTGGAACAGAGAGGAAAGGCCAAGCATAGCTGTGAGGGGACTCATTCCTCAGTGAATCCTGACTTTAACGCTCACTGCCTCACTTAGAAATGTATTTTCAGTGGTTAGCCCTTGGTCCCTGAGGAAAAAATGTAAAAGACTTTTAGCCAGTCTGGTAAAAAGCAAATCAGTTCCTGTGATTTTCTGTCACTCCTGCCTCTCCTCACTATCATTCATGCTTCTCTTGGGAGCATCTGCATCAGGCATCTGCACAGAAGCTGCTCGATGTGCGTGAGTGTCTCTCTCTCCTTCACACATACACACACACTTATGTCCACACCCACTCACCACACTCACACACACACACTCCCCCATTTGCCTGGAATAAGACCAGAGAGCATGAGTTTGCTTCAGAGATGGTAAATCGTCCTCATCTGGAAAATGGGGTGGTGGCTGTGATCTCCTCTAGGGTCCCCTCCTGTCCTAACATATTCTTTGAATGGTGTTGGGTCCTGAGGGGGAGGGGCTCCATCCCTGACTTCTGGGATACACAGAGATAAAGTTGTAGGAGGATCTCATTTGACAGAACTTTTAGAAAATATTTTGTCATAAATTCCCAGGCACCACCCATTGTTCCAGCCTAGATTCCACCAGGGGAGCCTGGCAGCTCACGTGGGTGCCATTTTCAGCTTGAGAAGCAGGTGACGGAGTGAAAAGAGCAAGGCTATGGAGTCAGACAGATGCAGATTCAAATCCTAGGTCAACCACCCACAAGCTCTAACCTGGTGCAAGTTAGCTAACCTTTCTGAACCTCAGTTTCTCTGTCTATAAACGAAGGCAACAATTCTTCTTTCACAGGATATAAGGATTAAGGCAGATAATGTAGAGCATTTAACGCTGTGCCTGGCACACAGTAAGCATTCAGGAGATGCTAGTTCTCCTCCTAGTGTTAGAGAGGAACAAGGTGAAGAAAGTGAACTGAAGAAGGGAGTAAAATGAGAAAGGGGCGGGAAAGACAGAAACCACGAAAAATGAAAAGAATAGTGTGATGATGGTGATGTAACACTGCCAGAAATTTCCTCGGCTGCCTCTGGGTGGCACCCTTGATACCGCAGGTTCATGATTCACCAGAAACTAAACGCTATGTATTCCCAAATTTAAAGTGATATTGCCACCTGGTGGTCAAACTCATGAACTTACTTTTTTTTTTTTTTTTGATTCAAATACTTGTTGAGCAGCTAGGGAGATACAAAGGTGATTAAAACATGGTCAAAGAGGTGAGGCAAATCCACAAGTAATAGAAAGCAAAGTATAAGGTCCACTGAATCACAGCAGTCAAAAGAAAGTGTTTTAGGAGATCAAGAGGTTGCTTCCAGCCTGGAAGGGGGCAAATCAATAAGGGGATTGAGATGAAAATAAAAGACTTCAGTCTGGATTGTTGATGATACTCAGTTTGGACTATATTTGTCTCTCCTTTTCCCCTCTCCCCATCCTTGGGCTTAATTTACCAGTAGTGCCCAGGATTGTTCAATGCTTTTTTTCTATACTTGCTTGCATTTTTGCTTCAATGTCTTCTACAGGGCTAGGTCCTTTCGGTGTTTTAGGAGTTTTTTCCTGTTTTTTGAAGGATTCTTGACTTTTTGATCTTGGTGTTGATGGTCTTGAATCTTTTCCATTCTGGTTTGATTTCTGTGCATTTTTGGCTGGAATATCTTGTACAGATTACTTTCCTGGAGCTTTTTCTTCAGCTTCCTCATTATCAAAGTCGTCATCATCTTCATCATGGTCATCGTCATCTTCATGATCACCTTCATCTTCATCAGCAACAAGTTTTACTTTTTTCTGTGGAAACTTGCCACCACTTCCAGGGGCAGACGCTTTCCAGACTCACTTAGGAGTGCCACGTCCTCCTCCTCTTCATCTTCTGACTCTGCATCTTCCTCCACAGCTACTAAGTGCTGTCCACTAATATGCACAGGCCCTGAGCCACACTTCAACTGTAAGACCACAGGTGGTGTTAGTTCAAAGCCCCCAAGGGAAACTGTTGGCTGCACGGACATTTTCAAAGTTGCCAGTGTTACTTTGATTGGACTGCCTTCATAATTCATCACCTCTGCTTTGATGACGTGCAATTCATCCTTTGCGCCAGCCCCTAAACTGACCGTTCTTGAAGATAACTGGTGCTCATTTCCATCATTATCCACCTTAAAGTGATCATCTTTGTTGGCCTTTAGTTCACAACGAAAAAGATAGTTCTGGGGCCTCAGAGGGCTCATGTCCATGTCCATCGAATCTTCCATGGGTTGATGGCATGCACTTAGGTGGGAGAGAAGGTGGACGGAGATAAAAGACTACTGTTCCAGGGAACAGTCGCGCAGGACAGAATCACACCAGGGCTCGTGCACTTTTGAATTCTCTAAAACCTTTTGATTAACTCGGAGTTCTTCTAGATGTATTCTGAAAGTGATTTGTAAATTGTAATGCACTGTTTGAATTCTTTCATTCATGTCAAAATTTATGGTGCCAGCTATATGCCAGGTACTATTCTCGGTGCTGGGGACACAACAGCTAACAAGTCAGAAAAAGTCCTGGCTCTCACAGAATTTGTATCCAAAAGGGGGTAACAGATGAAAACGAGTAAACAGATTAATTGGAAAGAAAATTTCAGGTAGAGGTGAAGACAATACTACAGTATGTGACTAGAAACAGCAAATGCTTCTCTGAGGAATAAACTTTGGGCTGAGATTTGAATGATAACAAGTTAGCCATGAGAGGTTGTCCAGGGAGAACATTCCAGGCAGAGGGAGCTGCTGCCAAGTGCAAAACTACAGCAGGAATGAGAGGTGTGCATTTGAGAAACAGGGAGAAGAAGTGGGGAGGTGGGCAGTGGGGGTGGGTAGCAGCAGGTGAGCTCAGCCTTGGTAATGAATTTGGATCTGATCCTAGGGTTTACTGGAGTGTGGTAAGCAAGGCAAATGGGATGTTCTGATTGATATTGTTAAGCTCAGTCTGGCTAATGAATGGAGAATGGATTGTGCAGGGCCACGGTGGAACCAGAGACCAGTTTGGAAGTGTCTGTAGAGGTCCAGGTGACATGTAGGTGGAGGCTTGGTTTAGGGTAATAGTGGTAGAACTGGAGAGATGCTGATGGGCTGGAGATTTATTTTGAAGTGAGAACTGTCCTGTGTCATCAGTGGAATAAAGAAAAGAGAGGGTTCGAAGGTGACTCCCACATCATTGCTATGGGAACTGGGGAGATGCCAGCGCCTTACTTAGTATTTTCCCAGTAGCTGAGTCTATAAATAATTTTTGGAAAAGAACAAGAAGTTTCACCTCAAATTCCGAAGTAATTAATGCAGATATCTCATTGCCTCAGAGAATACAGCGCAGCACTGAAATTCTACAAGACCTTACAAACAGGAACATCTCCGACTTCTTGGTGAAAACGTATCCTGCTCTTATACGAAGCAGGTAAGAAGAGACCTTTCTATACTTTTCATCCTGGCTCCCTGTGGGAAATATTGACTAGGGACAGAAGATCATTTCCTCTCGTGATTTATCAACAATCAGGGCAGTGGAATTTTTTCGTTTTCCTAATTTGAGAGCCTCATCCAATGGAAGAGCAATGGAGGCATATACAAGCCGAATGCAACTTATGATTCATCTTGCTCTGTTTTTTATTTTGTTTAGGACAAGCAGGTAACGTTTAAGCCGTGCACTATTACAAGTAAAATAAGAAAGTATAGAATTTGTCCAAAATACAGCCTCATATTTTAATTAGTTAAAAAACAGAGATGCCTCATATTTTAATTAGTTAAAAAAACAGAGGTGACGTTTGAAGGGAGGAAGGAGAGTAAGGGGAAATGGTAGAGACAAAGAGAGAAGCAAGAGGGAAAAGTAAGAAGCAAAAAGGAGAAAGGAAACAGACCAAGATCGGAGAGAGGCAGTGGGATAGTCTGCATGAGCCCACAGGTTGTCCAGGTTAACTGCACCTGTCACACTCTACCTGTGAATTATCACCTGTATCACTGCCCTTTCAAATGCAGCTCTGCAACTGTTCTCACAAGCCCCGCCCCGGGACTGCTCCAGCAGTCCCATCAGAGCAAGTAGAATGACAAGAGCATGCTATGGAGAGAGGATTATAGGGGACCCTGATCTGGGCCCCATGTTCCCTGGAACTTTAAAAGAAAACGTACTGTGGAATTTTAGTAGTAGCTACAGTTACTTTCCCTCCCAGTCCCTCGACAAGGGATAAATGGACTCAGCTGACTGTAACACATTGCAGATGGCGAAAGCAGCTGTTGAGAAGGCAGTGCCAAGCCAGCAGTTAGCAAAATGAAGAACAGCGTCCAAGCGCAAAAATAAAGACAGGCTGCACAGAATCTATTCAGTAATGCAGTGAACAACGACCATCCCACACTTCGTGCTCAGCAGCAAATCTGCAATATGGAATTTTGGATTTTGTGCTTAATGACAATGATAGTCCATGAGGCTGAACTATGAGGACCAGAGTTGGTATCTGCGTGTTTCCTATCTTGTAATTTTGCCCCTGATTGACTGGAAGCCAGTCTCTTAACTTTGGGCTAGGAGTAATTCAGAACTTCCTCCAAGTGTGCAGGTGATTATGAAAGTCTCGTTCTTACAGGGTGGAAGAGGGGAGGGCTGCAGCCTTCACTGCATGCTGGCATGGTCGTTGCCGTATTTTCTGGGTCCAGATCATCTGACAAGTGACCTTACAACAAGGCCACCCAGAAAGCCCTGCAGGCAGGATGTGACTTGGAGAGGCAGGATTGGAAAAGATCAGTCCTTTCTCCACATATTTATTCAGGCTCGGCCCCTGGCCTGGGAGGTTTCCACATTGCTTGGACATCAGGAAATGCAAAAAAATGCCCCTGAAGACTGGGAGACCCCAGCGAGTGTTTGGGGAAGAAAGTTAACACTACTGCATACTTGTTGTATTCATTGTATGATTTGTTTTGGCTTTCAGTTTGAAGAGCAAATACTGGGTCAATGAACAGAGGTAAGAAATTATTTTTATAAGATATAAAAATCTGAGAGTGATCTATTTAAATTCATTGCACATAAAAAAGCCACACCTCAAAGTCATGTGGATGAGCTATTCTGTATGTGCTCAGGAATTCATAAGACATGTCTTGAAGGATACATGGCTACACGCACCCTGGGCCCAGAAGATGCTCAGCAGTAGATCTCCTTGGAGGGCATAAATGAGAGGTGATGTTCCCTGAAGAGGAATTCCAGAGCACTCTCACTCCAGGAAGGTTCTAAAACCTCTGAGCAAATAACAGTTTAGAACAAGAGCACATGTAACCTATGCCCTGGCACTCCTTGGCCCATTCCTTTTAAGCCTCGGGGCGTCTGGCCCAGCCCCTGACCCACCCCGTTCCTGAGGCATCCTGAAGGTTCACACGGTTCCCAAGGTTGCGAATCCTCTAGGGATCATCTAGGAGTGAGCCCGCCTCGCGGGCTCCCTCAGGAACAGGGCCTCTAGAATGAATGCAGAGCTGATGTGGACTTGACTTCCTGGGCAAATCCTAGACTATAAAAGTGAAATTCAGCTTTTAGAATTGCTCCCAAGAGGGAAGTGAGGGACCTCAGCTGAAGCAGAAAGGCGGGGGGACAAGTTGAGTCCCTAAGAAATAAAGTTCTTCTCCTCTGCCTTGCCTATCCAACAAATTAATCTTGTTTGTTGAGGAGTTTGGCTTTTATGCTGCCATTGAAGGGTTTTAAGCCAGAGAGTGACACGCCCAGGCCCGTGTTCGAGCACCGTTACTGAAGACTTCCAGAGCAGTGTGGAAGATAGTTTAGAGTGGGAGGGACCCAAGGCTGGGATCCAGTTAAGGACTAGAGCAGGAGTCAAGGCAGGGGTGGGTGAGAGGCACCAAGAGAGGTACGGCAGGACTGGACCAGTTTCGATGAGTCCAGCACACCGGAAGTACCTGCAAAGTACAGAAGCAGCACAGAAAAAGGACCACTGGTAGGGGTGGGAGAAAGTCAGGGAAGACCTCAAAGAGAAGATCACATAGGACAGATGAGCTGGAAAGGCACCCGGGGAAACTGGGAGCCCTGCGAAGGCAGAGAGACACAGAGGCAGCCTGGACCACTGTGAGCTCTGGAAATGATTGCATGGCCGGAATGGGCCACTGGAGGGAAGGCTTGAGGAGGGGTGAGGTTGGAGAGGTGCGCAGACACCAGGCTCCGAAGGGGTCAGTCCTGGAGGCAGTGAGGAAGATGTTAAAGCTGGTTTGTAAAGGGGAGCTGTTTCCCGATGGGCCAAACAATTCCTGCAAAAATACACACTTTCCTACTGAAACTGAGAGCTCCGGTAACCACAAGGCACACACACATGGTTCATGGCACAGGTCTGAGGACTTCTTGCTCCCTTGTCAGGTACGGAGGAATTTCCATTGGAGGAAAGCTCCCGGCTCCCCCCATCACTGGAGAAGCCCTTGTTGGATTTTTAAGTGACCTTGGCCAGTTAATGAATGTGAGCGGGGTATGTAAACAGACTGGAGATTTCGTAGGACTTTCAACTTGTCAGTTATGAAATAGAAATGATCATGAATGCTAAGGGAAGGGGGGAAAAAAAAACCTCTTGGTTGTTTATTATGGTTTTCCAGGGCCCTCTCACCAGAGAAGCCTCTAAAGAAATGTCTGCTTTCCTTAAACATCTAGAAACTGAAGACAACATTAAGGTATTGGCCCTGCACAGTCTGCCCTAGAGCTAAAAACTCATGTGAGCTGGTTGTTTTATTTTCATTTTCCCAACTTAATTAAATTCCATCCCTCCTCCTGTTTAAATCTGGCATGGAATGTCTCCCAGCGGCCAAAACCTTCCTCCCTCTCACATTCTTTTTCCTGCAGCTCATTTTTTCTTTAAACAGCTGCTGTTAGTGCAGAGTCTCCTATGTAGTAGCAGAGCCTAACAAAGCCACATCTCCGCCCTCTAGGTGTGGTTTAACAACAAAGGCTGGCATGCCCTGGTCAGCTTCCTCAACGTGGCCCACAACGCCATCTTACGGGCCAGCCTGCATGAGGACAGGAACCCCGAGGAGTATGGCATCACCGTTGTAAGCCAGCCTCTGAACCTGACCAAGGAGCAGCTCTCCGAAATTACAGTGTAAGCTACTGAGGCCCCGGCCTCACAGCTTTCTAGTCACCTTCTCCACTCTAAACACCCCGAGAGGATTTTCACTAGCAGAAGCTGCTGGGCTGGATGGCAAGTTTGTTTAATCACACACACACACACGAACATAAGACTTCGTGTGCCAAACTGCGTGGCCATTCTTCCTCCTCATATTTATTTGGAAAATAAGCATATGTTTGGTTCCGTTCCCTTTTGGCTCTTGATAACACATTGCTCCTGGAGCTT